TGGAGAAAATGGGAGGGGGTAAGGGGTTTATATAGGGACGAAATCGCGTGTCGGAGGGGCGGTTTTGTCTTATTACCCCACCTAAAACCGCGCCTCCAGAGCGTGGTTTACGTTCCCCAACGCGCAAACCGCGCCTCGTGGGAACGGTTTGACTGAGCGACGCGGATCGCTGAGCTGGCGCGCGGTTTGGTAGTCAGATCGCTTCCTTATCTCTCGGTCGCATGAACTGCCACGTGGCAACGCGGTTTGACAGACAGGAAGGGTCAAACCGCCTATGGAACGCGCGGTTTGACTGTGAACCGCGCCTTCGAGGCGCGTTTTGATTTATAACTGCGCCTTCGAGGCGCGTTTTGTGTGGAAGGGTGGTATTTTTTGAAATTGTTGAGTATGGGTGGTATTTTTGTAATTTTTTTTTATAGTGATAGTTTTGGATTTTTTCCAACAATTTGCAACGAAGAATGTGGTCTGCACGCTATTGCCACTGAAGCAATGACTCGGAGTTTTGAATGGCAAACAACTCATTCCGACACAAAGAAGCTGATAGTTCGATGCAAAAATCAAAACGAGGGATGCAAAAGCATTCGAAACACTGACTGCCCTTAAACCTATCAGCAATCCTTGAACGCAATCACACACACAAGACAAATCCTTCTACACATCAATGCCAACGCAATCCATGAATGAGGCTTCTTTCTGCAAAATTGGTGATGAAAAACCATACTAAAACAATCCAATCACAATTACCGACCAGCCTTACTCTCAAATAAACAAAACAGATGGTGGTTGCTTAATGGCATAGTTCAAAAAGGCGCTAGGCACTAGACATGCGTTGAGGCCTTGTGTACAGTCTAGCACGCTAGGCATTTTAGTGAAAATATCAAATTTTAGCAGTTATACTAATTTTATAGCACTTTTTTCTTGAGTTCAATTTCAAATGATTAACAACTTAACTAACGCTCAACAACAAATAACATATGTAATGATTTCTTAGAATCACAAGTCTATAGAAGTCGTGGGTTGTGTGTGGCATGTAATCGACAAAGCATCAATTTGAAAAAATAATTAATCGTTCTTAGCTCTGCCTCACTTCAATTAGCCATGCCTAAGCATGTGTCACTTTGATAAAGCGTGTCTCACAGTGATTAATTGTGCCTAGCTCTCCTTAGTCGTTAAGAATGCCTAATTTTCTGCTAAGGACTTAGACGAGCCCTAGACATGCCTAGACGTGTCTAGACCAGTGGCGTAGCCAGCGTTCAAGATTAGTGTGGTCCCATTTATGAAAAAAAATTGTAACATTGTATTCAATTATTAAGTAAATTTTCTTAAAAATATTCAGTCAAGTAGTCATTCATCAAACCATTAGTTATAATATTTGTAACTTACATTTTGTGTAACTCATAATTGAAAAGTGACATTTCAATAACTAGCTAAAATAAATAGTTACCAAGCAAAATCTAATACACACAAACGTTTTATAAAACACATTTTATGACAAAGAAATTGTATATTGATAGAAATTTTTTTTGTTGAACTAAGAGCTTTTTAGATATAGCTGGAGTTTTTTGTACACTTATTTAGTATAATAAGAAATTTTTAGAATAAGGACTATAAATTTGGGGATTTTCAATAATATATGACCAATATAGTTTAATTTATTTGCGTGTTTCATAATACTAGGACAATTAAATTCCATATGAATGGGGTCCTAAATTCTAAATCTACTCAAATTAAACAAATATGTACATACATTCAACCATTTTAATTTATCCAAATGATGTCCTAGGACCCCATTCCCTTCCACCTCCCTCCGCCACTGGTCTAGACATACACCGAATTACGCCTTCTTGAACCCTGGTCGGTAATCACGTTGAACTTCTGCAACCGACAAGTCGTATCTTCACTGCAGCTGGTTCATCAACTCAACAATCAAGACAAGAAATCGGCTTCTGATTCACACAGGATTCACAGAGCTTCGAACGGGAAAGCAAAAGAAAGTAAAACAGAAGAGCGGGAGGAAGGAGAACCCACCCGTAACAGAGGCGCCGCCGTCCAGGGTCGCAACCAACGGAGTAAAGGAAGCTGCGATCGTCGGAGGAGGCCTGATGGTCACTGAATCCCAGAACTAATCGGACTGGCCGGCCCTCTCTCTGCTGCTTGAGAATTTTCCGGAGGAGGATCACGCGGATCTTGCGGGCGGGAATTTTTTTGTTCTATTCATAGTGGGCTGATTCTTATAAATCCGGTCCACAAGCCCACAGTCGGCCTAGTGGGCCTAATATCCCATCCCAGTACGAAGTTTGGTCATAGTCCACAAAATCGCACACAGCATTTCGGCCTCATTGTTTAATGTTTATAGTCGAGATGATGGTGTAAGTCTAGTTCTATGACGTAGGACCTATTATACTTATTCCCCAAGTCAAGTTTTCCTTGCTTCATGTCCAAATCAAGGACTGAAGGAATGTATTGAGCTATTGGCCCACTCAAATTTTTGTGTACCATAATGGTGGAGGACACCATTTGGTTTGACCCACTAAATTAATGTATAATAAAAAAAATAATTCAGAATATCTAAATTCCTCAAAGTCGTTTATTCTCTAAAATCTCCTCAATGTGTTACTCAAGAACGAAAACTAGTTTTACATAACTAGGGTTGTAGATCGAGGAAAAACAAAATCTAGCATATAATTAAGTAGGTGTGTTTTTCAAGTGATCGATGCAGACGTTGCTCGTATTAGTTTTTTCCTAGGAATTCAAGAATTTTCAGATAAAATAAATCTTCAATGTGAACAACTAGGTTCATTCAGATAAGTTATCCCATCACAATTTCGAGCTAGATTTATGCATTCACATGTCGAAGAAATATGTTATCCTTCAATCCTTAATTCGGGGCGAGTAGTAACCATGATTTCAATATTGAAGGATGTCAATTAAGAACTAAATTATGGTAACATATTGTCAGAGCGGTCATCCCTTGATCCCTCTTGAAAGTTGTCTGAATGGTTATACTTTTTGGCAAGGTTCAAGAAGATGTAATTTTGAGTATGCCTAGGCAGTTACGAAATCTTTGACCAGGCCCAAGGGAAACAATTAGGCATCCATAACGCTTAGGAGATGCCTAGACAAATCTAGACATGATTAACGGACATGTGTCATTAATTGAATAGAGGCACGCTTAAGTGCACTGGCAAACCAAGGTTTAAAAATATTGTAGCTAATCTTAATGAAACGATGTCATCTCCAACAACCCTATATTAGACATGTCCTTATTCCTCACTCCTCGATTTGAAATTGCAATTCTAGGTCAATGAGACAAAGATTGAGAACTCAAGGATTGCAACATCTTCTCCTTTTTTATCCATCTCTTTCTCCCTATTACCCGCTTTTTTGTCGTTGCCGAATGTAGAGTAGCCACAATCCATGAAATTTTTTTCATTTTTTTCCAACTCCAGTTAACTAGACCCTCTGCCCTGATTTTTGACACCCTCAACTGCACCCACAATCCACTACTTCTTCAATTCTTCTCTATCTCCACTCGACCCACCCTTCTGCCCTACTCTTCACCATCGTCGAATACAAAGCAGTTATAATCCACGACTTCTATAAACTCTAGATTATAGGAAATCATGTCATATTTGACTTGTTGTTAAGGTGTTAGCTAAGTTACTAATAATTTTAAATTGAACTAAAATTAAAAGTGCTATAAATTGTTATTTATTCTAAAATTTGCTATTTTTGCTTAAAATGGATAGGAATCGCCTATTGCACTGTTAAGTGTGGTAGGAAGGGGGCCAACATAGATTGATATAATCTAAGCGGATGGCTACTTCACGAGCCTCTCAAGAAGTGTTCTTGATGCAAGCCTCCTAGGTTGCTTCCAAGGAAATCCAAACTCATTCCCAAGTACAAAGATAGTGAAGAATCAAACTGCCCAAAATTTGGCCAATGCGGAAATTGTCTGTGAAGAACCAACTTTGGAGGATTATTCGTGGAAATTGGGGCACAGTCGAAGAAAGTGTCGAGTTGGAGATGAAACTAGGATACTTTCAAAACCACGTGAAGGCATTGTATGAGTTCAGATGAAGCCATAAGGTCGTTTCCCAAAAGCTTAAGATCGTATGGAGCACTATTTTCTGGGCAGTGTTACTTGTGTAGGAAGTTAGTTGCTTAGAGTCCAAGTTACCTTGTTTAAGAAGAATTCTTTACCTTTTCTTTTATGATTTTGTGTCCTTGTTAGTAAAGGTTTGTAGTTGAGTTATTTTGGTTATAAATAGTCGTTCTTTTCGTTGTAAAGAACACATTAGATTGAATAGAAAACCTTACTCTGAGCAGTTTCCATTGAGCTTGCGAACTTGATTTTTGTTCTTGGTATATACCAAAGATTGCAGACCTCTCTTTCAAACCATCCCATTGATTAAGTGGTGATCTACCCAAACCCAAATCAACCTCTTCCCCTCTTGTTGAAGTTGCTAATCTGGTTCCATTCCACCCCTAAAACCTTCACAACCTGCCTTGTTTTGGTCCGAGCTCATTCAGCCATCAAATAATCCTTATTTGATCGTTGTTGTGCAATTTTTAAAACCCAGACCTCGAGCTTGGGGTCATACCGGTTCTGTCAATCTAAGACTCTTCTCTTGTCTCTATATGTTTTTGAACTTGTAGGCTTTCTGTCTTTCTTGTTTGGGATTCTTAATTATTTGCCTTGCTGTTTAAATTTGTTTGACAGTTCAAGTGTCCTTGCTCTCATACATGATGAGACTTGGGCCAACCCTTGCTTGCTTTGTACTTTTTTCCTAGGTTGTTCTGTAATTATTTAGTACTTACGACATTATAAAAAATAGATGATAAAACCAAAATATATAACTAATTAGCAAAAGGAAAAAGCCGGACATATTTTCATTATGCATATCAGAAAGGGGGGAAAAATGAATATTATTACATTATCTTCGACCCAAAGCATACACAACTTATTCATTGGAAAGGAAGACATAGACCTCAATGTCTTACTCATTGTTCCATGAATCACACCGGTCATATTGATAAGTCGCAGGATCATACTCACACGGACCATAGGTTTTGATAACAAATTTACAATCTCTACAATTCATATTCCAATCATTATAGATATTAGTCCAATGTTTTCCGCCACTGCCTGGCCATTCAAAGGAACAATAAAATAGGGTTCTGAAAAATATATCTGTCCTAAATTTAAAATGATAGCTCTCATCATATCTTAAATACCTAACCCCAAGGTCGTCATCCCTTGACCTGCAATGTAGTTTCAGTGTCGCCTTGCTCTTAAGCCTATTGGCTATTGTTACGGTTTTCTTCACAGGCCAGAAGCCGTCTGTACGCGCTGCTTCTGTAACATGATTCATTACCACGAAGACCAGTAGGGATATGACTAATCCCCTCCTCATGCTATTGCTCATCATAATCATCATGTGACGTATTGTGTTACAGAATTCAATGTATATGTGTAGGTATTTGTGGGTGAAGATGATCACTATATATAAACCAAGCCATGTGCATTACTTCTAGCATTTTCAGTTCGGTTGGTTTTTAAGGATAAGAGAATTTGGTATTCTTTTCTATTTTCTGCTTTGATATTGTTTTATTTTCCTATGTTTAGTATTAGGAGACATTGAATAATTCATCGTTTGTTGTAAAGTGATAACATAATCAGATAGTCCAAATATTAAATAAAGAATTATGTTATTTAAGGAATTTTGTTTATTAATCATGTTAGTTTGGAATAAATTCCTCATTCAAGCATGCAACTTGGGTAAATCTCGATTCTCCTTGCTAGAAGAATTAGTCGTAAACAAACTTATGATTCTTTCAAAGCGGAGGAACGTTTTCATATTTCCTCTAAAGTCAGTGACTAACTAAAATGGTATTCTAAAAATGAACAACCAAATTTTCATTTAAAGAAAAAACTTCGGAATCCTTGATCATCTAGAACTTCCATGGAAACCCACCACATTCATGCATCCATGATCATCAAGAATCTACTAGAAGATTACTTTAACTCTATGAAAAGGTTGTTAACCTGGTTTGGTCTCGAACAAGTGAACTGAGAGCTAATAGTCCAACGATTTAGCCTGAATATATGAAAGCAATCATTATATTATTAATAAATTTATAAATTATATCAAATCTGATCTAACATATAAATAATAAGGTTATACCAAAATAACGATTCCTATCCAAAATATAGTGAAAATTCAAATAGACTCATATTCATATAGCATCAATATTAAAATATTCAACATAAATTCCAAAGATAAGGTTAGGCAAAGGGAAAAACCGAAAAATAGGTGCAATTCACAAACAAAATGGAATAACGACGTCGTGTGACCTCCTACTAAAAAATCATGGTGCAAATTGACTCTCAAATATGTGTCACCCATTTTTCTCACCGAGTTTGAGTCAATCAGGGTCAACCCGCAAGTCAGACAAACCTTGCTCTATGACAAGAAACTTAATAATCAAATCATCAACTATTACAAACAAGGTTGTCAACCCACGGGCTGACCCGAACCCGACCGAGTTAGTGGGTCAAGGGTAAATGGGTCACCCGTTTTAGTCCGGTTTAGCCCGAAAATATGGAAAGAGTCATTATATTGTACTTATCCTGATATATTATATCAAATCTCATCTAACATATGAGTTATAACATATACTATTATACCAAAGTAACATATCGTACTTAGATCCAACATATAGTGAAAATTCACACACATTTATATAACATCAATATTCATATGTTCAACTTAGTATTCCAAAGATTGAGTTAGACGAAAATAAAAATCGGAAAATAGGCGCATTTTGCAAACCAAAGAAAAATTACACAATTTGACCTCCAACCCGATACCTTGTAGCGATCGACTCAACAGGTGCGTACGACCTGTTTTTCTCACCGGATCAGGATCAAAGTGGATCGACCTGCGGGTTGATAACCTTGATTACAAACAACGAGGAAGCTTTTCCGCATGAATAATTTAGACCAGCCCGCTGCTCCCGGTCCGTGTTGGGAAACCGTGATGAACTCAGGACTTGCTTTTTGCTCCCCCAATTTTACTTGTGCTCCAGTGATTTGGGTTGTCTAAGCCAAATCGGAACTAACGGCAACACAATCAACAACTTCGCTGCCATGAAAACCACTGTCTCATATGGTAATGAACAGTAAAATAAAAATCCTGAAACAAACCATAAGGAACAAAATCATCATTGGTTATCGTAGTTTCAAGTCTTTATACTCCGTTCAATTTGTTAGTAGTTCGAACATTGGGACTGTTTATGTATAACTGAGGGTAGGAGTGAGACAAGATGATTGTGGGAGCAAGTGAGATAAGGTGTACAATCCGCCTTATGCCTTTATTTCTCATTTTGGTAACAAGGGGTCTCAAGGAGAGGGAGAAGGATTCTAAAAATAGAAGTTCTAGTTTTTCTAGAGAGAGGTAGAAAATCGATCTTCCACCCACCGGGATAAATGCTCTATATATTGGCTACCTTCCGGTGGGTGGGTTCCCAAGGTGACATGATGCTTGGAAGGGACATGAACCTGGAGTATGATGAGGTCTATGGGCGAGACATGATAGGGTGTTACTGAAACGATGCGCATTGCGTTACTTGTACGCGGGTAGTGTTGTTACGCATGCGTCGTCTCTTTTGGTGACTCCGCGCGAGAGGACATGCTTGCGCGGGGGCTACTTGAGTACTCGCGGGTGGAGGTTGGCCGCCTCTTGTCTTAGTATTTTGTATCCCTTCTTGTGGCGGTCGGTGTTATTGTTGGCGCGACATGACCCGTGCCATGGCCCCAACAATTGTCCCCCAGCAGGGGGTATTCCGCGAATGCCCTCTGTTTTGTCTGCATGCTTTTGGCGGCTCGGGTCAGTTTCTCTCTGCTTGTCTCGCGCATTCAGGTGGGATTGATTTTCTCTTCCTTTTTCTTTCCTCTTTTTTTATTCTTCTTTCCACGGGCTGGGTAAGTAGACAATCTCGTTTCGCTGGTAACTATTGGATGCTGTAGTAACGCGCCTTGGAGCTTTCATTTAAAGTTTGTTTTCTATTTTCGCGAATATGTACTGCCCCCCAGGCTATGCGCTGGCGTAGGTAGTGCCGCCGCCTTATGCCCCCCAATCGTCGTTCTGATGATGTCCAAGTGGCGCGCTGCTATTCATCGGTTTTGGTGGTCACTTTTTTTATTTTGAATTTCGAAAAAGTGATGTAACGCTTGCAGTTCCCAATGTCGTTCAACCGTTTTCTTTCCCTTTCCTTCTGGTTGTAAATAGTTGTTCTCTGTTTCCAGAGAAACATTATCTGTATTACGTCTCTCTCTCTCGTCTTTTTGAAATTCTCCTTCAAAATCAGATTCCTCTACTTCGTTTATGACCTTATTCCTTCCTCACCTCCGTCGACACAACTCTTTTCTGGAATGGCTGACTATGGTTCCCACATTGAGATCAAGGTCGCTATCGACGAAGAAGGTAATATTTCTTCTCATTCTCGTATTTCTACTGATCTGTCTCTAGAACTTTGCGATTCCGGCGACGCCATCGTACGACATCGACGTCGGCCGTGATATTCTTCACAGCTCTTCGAAGGGAGGTCGCGACAAGATCAGGGGGTGAATTAAGCTCTGGTGTGCAGGGGGTGTTTATCATCCGCCGCGAAATCGGAAGTGGTTTCCATCCTTCTGCCTGCGCTCCTATGGAGATTTCAGACAGCGAGTCTGAGCGCCCGCTTGAGCAGCCTCCCACATGTATTCCGCGCAAAACGGAAGCTTAATCAACTTGGCCCGTGTTATCTCAACTCCTAGTACACAATTGTGGAGTGGGCGGAGATGTTCGAGCCTGGTTCCGTGCCTAGTGACAACCTGGTGCGCTGACCGGATCATGTCTCCATTTTCGGGCAGAGAGAAGTGGAGGAGCTTGTGTGCGGGTTGGGTCTGCCCCCCAATTGGCAGTATGCAGTGCCATCAGAACGAAGCTGCATTGGGAACTGCCCCCAGGGTGGTTCGGGATATATTCAGAGTATTGGCGGATGGGATTAAGTTCCCATTGAACCCTTTGTTGTGCGCCTTGCTACAGCGGTTAAAGTGTCCAGTCGCGCGATTGTATTCCTCCGTAATGACGCATGTGTCTATGCTTCGCCTCGTTTGTAAGCGGCGCAGAATCGAGCCAACATATGGTTTGTTCCGCAAGTTCTACAAAATGAAGGAGCCCACGGATTAGAGCAAAAGCGAATGTTTTTCGTTGAAGCATCGTGACAAGAGGCCGTACGGGTATGTTTATGGGTCTCCAAAGCTGGACAAGAACTGGTTCGAGCGGTTCTTCTATGTGAAGCTCGGGCCTAGTGAGTGGGCCAGTGAATACGTGGAGGAGGCGACTGTTTGGAAGAATAGGAGCGTCAAGGGGTTCGAGTCGGAGGTGGGCACGCATGATAGGTTGGAGGCGGAGTATGAAGTTTTGTTGAAGGAGCTGATAGACTTATATGGTCAAGGAGTTCGCACAGCTCGTCTTGCGTAGCTATTTAATGATGGTTGGTTATTCTCCATTGTCTATGCATTCTATAATATTAACTGCCTTCTTACGACTCATTGTTGCAGGCGTGGACTATTCATCGGTGGTCAGCATGATGTCCATCAAGGAAGTTGTCAAAGTTTCCAAGGCCTCTCGCAGGGACAGGAAGAGGAAGAAGGCTGATCAACCCATGCAGCTGAGAAAGCCAGTAAGGTCGCGTGCACAGCAGAGAGGATGGTGAATAAGGTTGTTATAAGAGAGCCGCAGGTTAACAAGCCGCCGCTACCTGATAGGGCGGTCGGAGGGAGTTCACTAGGGCAAACTGTCCAGCAAACCCTCCCAGAGATGCCTAGGTTCGAGGCCCTTGTTCCCACGCACTTTTGCGATGTGTGGCTGCATTGTGGCGCCCCTTCGTCGCTAAGGGCCGCGCAAAATGCCTTGCATGCGGTGGGTTTGGTGTTGAATATTGATGACTCGATATTTGCACATGTTTTCCCCTTTGTTTCTTGATCGTTTAAGCTTGCATTATTGCTTCTTTGGCCTATTTTACGCTAGGTTTTGTTCCTTTATTACATTTCAGGTCCTAGCACATAAAGTGAAGCATAGGCGCAAGTTTCAAGTCAATCAGAGATCAATTGGCGATTCGGGAGAAGAAACTCGGGCATGACCTGAAGAAGAATGAATTTCTACCTCACTTTATGGACAAATAATCATGCAAGCTTGTCATAAAAAGAAAGAGGACGAGACTACGAGCGTCTGGGATCAAACGACGACTGATTCGGAGTCCGGACGAGGGAGAAACGAAGCATTGAATATAGGGGAACAGGTTCGGCAGTAAAAACACGGTCGTG